TGAGTTAACTAAACATACTTGGGATGATATCTCATGGTGTGGGTTGTTCATTGATGATATTGTTCTAGTTGATGAAACTAAGGAAGGAATCAACATTAAATTAGAAATTTTGAGAGAAACACTTGCGTTAAAAGGTTTAATATAGAATGTAACTTCAGTGATAGTAAAGGTCAATGCTTTTTAATTAAACCATAGGCTATCATATCAATGCTTTTTCTATGTATCTGAAGCAATTTTCAAAAGTAGGCCACGTAACACCGTTATGTAATGGTATGGACAATTATCGCTACCCTTTATTGCTTTCACGGTGTGGTTGAATTTCACAGGTGTAACAACCACAACCATTATGTGATGCTCGTAACAGACTGTTATGACACCGTTACAACATTTAACGCCATTACATAAAAATGGCAGCATCTGTTACATTTAAAAGACATTTTCTGTTCATTTTCTCCTCTTTTAACTTGTGTTATTTATTTATTTATTTACTCAACATTAATGTACTTGTAAGTTTGTTACTTGTATAACTTGAAGATATGAAATGTAACATTTTAGTTTGTTTAATAAAATAAAAGCAGTGACATTCACTCCATTTCTAGCTAACATTCTCCTAGTGAAAAAAAAAAAAAAAGGATTGTGAGGCTATAAGTGGAGTCTGATCTGAATATTGTTGCTCTAAAATAAATAGCTAATACTATTTTTAATTTTTAATTTCATTATTTATTTTTTTAACATATGTAACCAGCAAGTTTGAAACACAATTATATAACATTATAAGTCTACAACTATTAATATTTATAGCACAATAAATATTAGTAAGCTGTTGTATTATGAGTTTATGGCACGTGAAATTATTAATTGTTGAAAGAAAAAAAAGTCAAAACTCTCTTCATAGCAACTTAAATAATATAAAATTTAGTACGTATATTGGATCATGTTAAAAAAATATATTAAACTCTTGGAAAATCATTTTAAATCCCAACAAATGTGATTTCAAAATAAAACATGCGTATCAATAAGATTCCGCAAAGTTGTGGGAAAAAAAGAAAAAATTCAGGGCTAGGTTGCCACAACCGTTGCACTACACCCATCGCAGCCCACAACTACATCACTACCACCGTTACTGTTACAGCGAGTGCAACCTTTGCTTGAAACATTGATCTCTAGCCTTGTTGGTTTCATTCCATTCCTTAACTTAGTGTTTTCTTTTATGTGTATCATGTCACTCTTCCTCTTGGTACAGGGTTTAAATCTGGTTGCACATGATCAAACCGTCTTGCCTCTCTCTTAATTTATTGTCTTACCAATCTGTTCATTTTTCTAACTTTTTCATTATTCTTGTCTTATTACATATTCATGTTGACATTGTTAGCTATGCTTATTCCGAGGGGTAGTGTTATTAAAGGCGCGCCTAGGCCCAAGTCCCATCCAGGACCAAGGTTTACGCCTTGTAGTGTTGTAGGCTAGGCGACTTTAATAAGGCATGCCTAGGCATGCGCCTAGGCCCAAGTCCCATTCAGGCCCAAGACTTGCACTTTGGTTTGTCTTGATTGAAAAAATTCTTTAATAAGATTCTAATGACTAGAAAAATGTTAGATGAGTGGAGAAAAAGTATTTTACTACTTCATTTATAAAAATAATGGAGATACTCAAAATTGCAACAACTATGTTTACTGATTGATACAATGAAAGTGAGGGAGAGAGTGATTGAGCATAGCTCAACAGTGTCAGTGAATTATTTTGGATTTATGTCAAATAGATCAACTATGGAAGCGATATATTTACTAAGAAGATTAATAGAGAATTACTAATAGAAAGTGAGGGATGAGGGATCTGCATATGATTTTTATAGATTTAACAAAAGCTTACGATGGGGTGCCTAGAGATATTATATAATATGGTAGGTGTTGGAGAAAAAGGTGTGAGATCAAAGGATATATTGATGTGATAAAAGACATGTATGATGGGGTTGTGTGTGACTACAATTAGATCATTTGCAAGAGAAATTTGTGAATTCCAATCATTGTATGGTTGCATCAAGGGTCAACTTTGAGTTCATACCCCCTATTTGCCTTTGTCATGGATGAGTTAACTAAACATACTTGGGATGATATCTCATGGTGTGGGTTGTTCATTGATGATATTGTTCTAGTTGATGAAACTAAGGAAGGAATCAACATTAAATTAGAAATTTTGAGAGAAACACTTGCGTTAAAAGGTTTAATATAGAATGTAACTTCAGTGATAGTAAAGGTCAATGCTTTTTAATTAAACCATAGGCTATCATATCAATGCTTTTTCTATGTATCTGAAGCAATTTTCAAAAGTAGGCCACGTAACACCGTTATGTAATGGTATGGACAATTATCGCTACCCTTTATTGCTTTCACGGCGTGGTTGAATTTCACAGGTGTAACAACCGCAACCATTATGTGACGCTCGTAACAGACTGTTATGACACCGCTACAACATTTAACGCCATTACATAAAAATGGCAGCATCTGTTACATTTAAAAGACATTTTCTGGTCATTTTCTCCTCTTTTAACTTGTGTTATTTATTTATTTACTCAACATTAAAGATTGAACATAATTTTTATATGTACTTGTACTTGTAAGTGTGTTACTTGTATAACTTGAAGATATGAAATGTAACATTTTACTTTGTTTAATAAAATAAAAGCAGTGACATTCACTCCATTTCTAGCTAACATTCTCCTAGTGAAAAAAAGAAAAAGAAAAAAGGATTGTGAGGCTATAAGTGGAGTCTGATCTGAATATTGTTGCTCTAAAATAAATAGCTAATACTATTTTTAATTTTTAATTTCATTATTTATTTTTTTAACATATGTAACCAGCAAGTTTGAAACACAATTATATAACATTATAAGTCTACAACTATTAATATTTATAGCACAATAAATATTAGTAAGCTGTTGTATTATGAGTTTATGGCACGTGAAATTATTAATTGTTGAAAGAAAAAAAAGTCAAAACTCTCTTCATAGCAACTTAAATAATATAAAATTTAGTACGTATATTGGATCATGTTAAAAAAATATATTAAACTCTTGGAAAATCATTTTAAATCCCAACAAATGTGATTTCAAAATAAAACATGTGTATCAATAAGATTCCGCAAAGTTGTGGGAAAAAAAGAAAAAATTCAGGGCTAGGTTGCCACAACCGTTGCACTACACCCATCGCAGCCCACAACTACATCACTACCACCGTTACTGTTACAGCGAGTGCAACCTTTGCTTGAAACATTGATCTCTAGCCTTGTTGGTTTCATTCCATTCCTTAACTTAGTGTTTTCTTTTATGTGTATCATGTCACTCTTCCTCTTGGTACAGGGTTTAAATCTGGTTGCACATGATCAAACCGTCTTGCCTCTCTCTTAATTTATTGTCTTACCAATCTGTTCATTTTTCTAACTTTTTCATTATTCTTGTCTTATTACATATTCATGTTGACATTGTTAGCTATGCTTATTCCGAGGGGTAGTGTTATTAAAGGCGCGCCTAGGCCCAAGTCCCATCCAGGACCAAGGTTTACGCCTTGTAGTGTTGTAGGCTAGGCGACTTTAATAAGGCATGCCTAGGCATGCGCCTAGGCCCAAGTCCCATTCAGGCCCAAGACTTGCACTTTGTAGTGATCCAGGCCAGGCGACTTCGATAAGGCAAACGACTAGTCCAAGGCACAGCAAGGCCCAAGTCTTGAGGGCTTTTTTTTAGTGTTGCTTAAATTGGTTTTGTTTAAAATCTGACTATTGATTTAAGATGATGCAGCTACAAAAGATCCCTACTTTTATTACACATGCCAATACATTGGGCATTCAACCATAAATCACTGATACAAGAAAAATTAGCCCTAATTCCTAATCTCTGAAGAACACTTCACTATACTACATGCCTTATTATCCAGTCCAGCAAATCCAAAAATTCTTCTTCACGTTGTTGTCATTTGTTTTTTTTCCTTCTCTTCTTACGTTTCTGTCTCATTCTCTTCTCTTCTCTTCTTCTTGTCTACGTTGTTGTCTTCTCTATTTTTCTCCTCTACGTTGCTATCTTCTTCTTTGCATGGCTGTGATGATATTGCCTTCTTCTTCTTCTTCTTCTTCTTCTTCTTCTTCTTCTTCTTCTTCTTCTTCTTCTTCTTCCATCTTCTTATGCTTATTCTTTGGTCTTCTTTTCTTTCTCATTATTCTTTAGACTAATTATTTCCCCATCGGCCTCTTCTTATTCTTCTTCTCCCCTCTCATTTTATTCATGTTTTATGTTAAATTTTGAAATATTGTTCATTTGTCTATGTTAAAATAGTAGTATTTGTTGGTATATATATTTTTAAATGTTTAAGATTTCATTTTGCTTATGTTGAACCCTAAATTATTTAGTTATATTAAATTATATATTTTTTTACGTACAAGATGTGCCTCACTTCGGTGAAGCATGCTCCTCGCCTTGCGCCTTGAGCCTAGGCCCCTAGGAGACCTTGGCGCCTTGGTGCGCCTATTGCCTTTAATAACACTGCCGAGGGGCAACACAAACATTATGCTCTATGTTTTCGTAGCTTGTAAGTGGGTGTGTTATTGTAGGTCTTTGTTTGTTTGAATCTTTGATGGGACTATCTACTATCAATTGAAAGAAAAAGAAAAAGGAATCTCCTATGGAACCAGTGTTCTTGAATGTCCCCTTCCTCTTTGTTCCTGTTCATGATTGAGTTCTCTCTCTCTCTCTCTCTCTCACACACACACACACACACACACAAACCAAAATTATGTTTCATTACTTTTGTATTATTTTGTCCTCTCCCAGACTATCTGCAGTTTTGGAGCCTGTGGTGTGAATCTGTGGTCTTTGACAACAAGAGTCATATCCATAGAATGCTGTCATTTTTTTTCTCAAAGATCTGTTGCTAACTGTATTTGATTTTGAATCTGAACTATCATGTATCTGTTTCTCGAGTTTTGTGTTTTACAAGGTATTCCTCTTTATGCAGCTGGCATGGGCTTGGAAATATGGCTTCCACAGAAGCAATGCGTCTCTTTGTAAAGATATTGGAGGTTTGGGCATAGTGAACTTTCCAGTTTTTGTTACTTTATAAAAACCTTAGGTAATTATCTATGTTTTATTTTCTTAATAGGAAGAAGATCCAGGGTGGTATTCAAGAGCATCCAATTTTGTTGCAGAGCCTGTTGTAGATGTAGAAATAAATGTGAGTTTGTAGAAAGTTTAATTTTTTGGCTGATTCTTTCAAGTTTCTTGATGAGCTATTTCTTGATATTAGGGTGCGCTTTTTTCATAAATGCATCTTACAAGCAGGTCTAACAAAAACGGTGTTAGTTAGATTGATCAATGTCTTCCCATCATTCAGAAGCTGTCACTTTTTTAATGAAATTTTTTGCAGGACTAGTTGGCTAGATTATCTTTATTTGATGTGCAGTCAATTTTTATTTATCTTTATAATTCCCCCCAATTCATGTTTGAAGTCATGTGCTTTCCCAATTGATTTTGTATGTACACGTTTGTGGATCATCGTCTCATTCATTCTAGGGTAGCTAGGGGGTTGTGGTCTATGCTTAGGTTTGTTTGGGTCTTACAAAGCAGTGCTTGTTTTACTTTGTACATGGGAAGGGACTAAGATGCATACTAAAGAAGGTGGCATGGAAGCAGGCCATTTGTTTGGGTCTATAGGAGTCGTAGATCCTTTGATGGAAGAGGAGCCAATTATAGGTTGAAGAACTAACATTTGAGTGCTCTCTTTTGTTGGGTTATGGGAACTTTAATCCCTCCCTTAGTCTTTTTTGGATTTTCTAGGATATATTTTTTTGTATAGAATAAGTTGGTTGTGCCCCTATAGGCACCTTTTAATGAAATAACTTGTGAAAAAAATTAGAAAAAGGTATAATGCTTATGGTTTGGTGTGGTGGTCTTCCTTTGAAATGCAATTTCTCAGTGATTATTTCATGTATTTGTGTAGGAGGACATCTGATACATGCCATTAGCATGTCACATAAATCACAGCTTTTTATTGTTGGAATAATGACATCATAAAGGTGTATGAAGTTGAGATTTTTATGTTAATTTGTTGGAGTATCTGAATGAAAGTACCATGTACTTGCGCACTAACTATATCTGTGCTTTTTACAATATTGTAAATTTAGTCCTGCTTATGATGGTATTTGCTCTCTTTACAGTTTCTAAGGTGGTAGAGGTTAAGGAAGAGAAAAATAACAGCTGATAGATCAGAAAATTGACCAAGGCACATGTGTGAAATTGCAGTCCATTACAACCAAGTCATTAGTCATTGCCTTTATCCAGACTGCTGTCTAAGATTGTTTAGTTGACCAGTGATCCATGCAAATCTCAAAACTGTGATATCATTCAATTCTATGAGGATAGATCCGTTCTCTTCCTTATGAGGTAGCGCATGTTTTAACTGAAGTTGGCCTTAGAGAAATTGAAATGTAGAGTTATGTAGTTGATGGGAAACTGTTGCCACAAGGCTTTCATGAGTTGATTTAAGTTGTCTATCACCTTTAGACTCTGAATTGTTAACAGAATGATTCTTCTCTTTGAAGTTTGAACTGTTGGTTGGAATCCTGTTTCTTCTTCTTTAATTTGTGGGCTATTTTATGAGGTCCCACTAAATTCCATCTCTTTGGACAAAATGACAAAATGAAGTTCTTGTGGTAGGAATAATTTTTCCTTTGAATATTTGTGTTTGTAAGCTTTGATTTTGGGTTGGGAGGCATGTAGTACCTGCTTGCTACAATGGTTTCTTCAGGTTCTGCATGCCTTTGTATTTGGATTGATAATTTGTAATTCAAAACTTCTTCCATGTATATGCCTAAAATGATAAGGAATGAGGGAGCACAAACACTAATTCATTACTGGATGGGGCATGCTCATGATGTTGGCTTCTTTGCCTTTGGCATTGTTCTGTGCCTTATCTTACTTGTGAGACAATCTGTGGTTTCAATTGGTTCGTTGACATATGTACTTAACAGTTATACAGTAAAAGTGGAGAAACCAAATAATTAAAGTTCATGGTGAGGCCCTAGAATTTTCCAGTTACTTCTTAATGCTATATTTTCCCCTTTGAGATTTCACAAGGCACTCCCTCTCAAGTTTTTATACTTATCTGCTCCATTTCCATTTATTTATTTTTTGCATTTTTTGTTTTTTTTTTTTTGCTGTTGTGGGTTTTATAGCGCAATCCAAAGGTTGAGCCAGTCACAGAAAATGGAGACACTTTTCCTGAGACAAAGACCATTCCTACTGAAAACGGCAGCTTGTTGGAAACTCAGGATAAAGATGTTATATTGGAGGGCCTTGGTTCAGTTAATGTATATGATCAATGGGTTGCCCCTTCAGAATTTGGTCCACGCCCAAAAGCCCGATACGAGGTATTGCCTTGCCTCCATTTTAAAAGATCAGTTGGTTCTAGCTGCTCCTTCCAAACACCCCCCCTTTCCGTCTTTTCTTTTTCTTTTTCTTTTTCTTTTCCTTGAACAAAGTTCTTGAATTCACAGCATGGAGCAGCTATTATTGATGACAAGATGTATATATTTGGCGGAAATCACAATGGACGTTACCTTAATGATCTTCAGGTATGGAAACTAATTGTAGTTGTGCATGTTGTGTTATATGCACAAGTCATATGGTTGTGTTTACTGTATTTATTTATGGGATACTGTTAGTGTTTGGCTCATTCTCTCTCACTCTCTCCTTTTGTTTTTTGGATAAGTGTGGAGAATCATCCAAAACTTCTCTTCAGTAATAGCAGCCAATTTTTCCACCTATTGCCTGAAAAATTGATGTTGTATCTAGTCTCTTTTTGTTTTAGTTCTTTTTTCCCTCTTCCCTTCCCATTCCCCTTCCCCATCCCCTTCCCTCCCTTTTCTCTCTTCCCTTTCATGCTTTTCAGGCTTTATCTTTATTAATTATGTTTACACAGAAGTAATCAAATTATCATATTTTAATTTTTGCTTCTTTGTAGTTGTAGATATTCTTGTCTTTAATCTGAAAAAAAATGCAGGTTCTAGATTTGAGAAGTTGGAGTTGGTCCAGGCTTGAAATTAAAACTGCAGCTGATTCTGTGGAATCACCTTCTTTAGTATCAGTGCCTCCTTGTGCTGGCCATTCCCTGGTTAGTATGGAGATTTGTAGATGTTGGATGCAAAGATGTTTTCACATGTGCTGTATGATCATTTCAATTTTGTGTCTGTAGATACCATGGAGGACAGATAAGCTTCTTTCAATAGGTGGACATACAAAAGATGCTTCTGAGACTATGCAAGGCAAGATTCATATATTATGTATTATCTTTTGCATTTCTAGTTTTGTTGGAAATATTTATTAACTTTTGGTATGTTAATTTCTATGCACAGAAAATTTTCAATGTTCTAAAGTTTTCTAGTTGTGAAAAATTGGTGAAAAACATTATAAGCTAAGAAGCACGGACTCAAGGCACATCGATTTTTTAAAAATTAGGATATGGACATGGCAGGGCAGGGATATGGGAAGAAAAAAAAATTATTTGCTAATTTTTATCCACAAACAAGAAAGAAAGAAAAAAAAGAAAAAGAAAAAAGGAAGAAGAAAAACTAACATTAATTTAGCATAGAACAATCACTCAATCTATAATTTGATATTCATTCAACTATTACATTACATATGTCAAGAGCATTTAAGTTTAATAGTAAATGGATCATCCATAAAGAATACATAAATTTTAAGAAGTAAATAATATGGTGTTAATATTTACCAGAAGTTTGCATCCACAGAATTAATGTAAATGTAATAGGAACACTAGATGAGAGGGGCAACTGTTTTTTTTTTCCAAGGAGATAAGGCTCTCTACCTCTCCCAAATGAGTTTTAGGACACAAAAAGCTCGAATGGTGAAGATGTGGTCATGTTGCGTCTAGGTTAGGGGTGATTGAGGATGGGGGTATGCCTGACTCATTTAACAAAGTTGGGGCTTCAGAGATGGAGGAGAGCATAGTGGAGATGATGAAATCTGATATTTCGTGTCCAATTACTTTGGCTTTGAAACCAATTATTGCAGGGCGACTATCAAGGAATCTGCTCTGTTCTTCAATCGATACAAAAGCAGAAAATATGGAGAATGGTTCTAAAAGAAAAGCATCAAGATTCATGAAATGAATTTTCAAGAGAAGAAGAACACGGACCACAACCTTACACACAAAAGCCACAACTTTTATCAACTCAAATTGATTAATTCACTCTGGTCAATTACAATGTCAAAGCCTTTATTTATAAGCTAAAAGAAACCCTAATGAAAATAAGGAGATTAAAATTCTTGATGGCTAAGAAACAAACAAAAATGAAACAAATCTAAAGAATCCTAATTAACTATAATTAGAAGATAATAAATATAATACTAAAGAAATGAAATTATAAGCTAACAAATTGTAAATGAAGCCCCTCCCTAGCTAAAATTTTGAATGCATGCATGAATTCTGTATTATTCTCCTAGATTGGGAAAAAAAAAGAACTCGTCATCGAGTTCCTATTGAAAAACTGAATGCAATCATGCCAATTAATCAAATATTTTGAATATGTTAGCTGTTTTATGTTATTGTTTCAACTAATTGGTGTGATCAGGCTGGTGACGAGGTCTACCAAACACGGATTGAACACGTAAAGAAAATCTTAAATACTAATAAAATTAATCTTGTCTAACTTGATCAAAGAAGAATCAATTAGTGGTGTATCAATAGGATGTTGTCCTTTGGTAAAATAATGTTACGTGCTATCAATGATTTATTAGACTTTCGAATTTTCTTCCATCATGTGAAAATTGTTCATCAAGTTGGTCCGACGTTAAAGTAATATTATTTTGGAAGAAAATTTAGACAACCAAGAAACCATTGGAAGGCAAGCGAATCGCCTACACAACATGATTAAAAAGAGGAGCTTCCTATTGACACACTACGAATCGATTCTTCTTTGATTGAGTTAGACATGAATGATTTTATTGGTATTGAAGATTTTCTTCTGTTACATGGACTCGGGTATGGGTGTCGAGTGCGAGTACGTATCTGGAGGTTGGACTCGTTAAACCATAAATTTAAGGGTGCGCATATTCGGCAATATGAGATAAAATGGTGCTATATATAACTTACATTGTCAAAAAGACATTTATAGCAATTACACAACAATATGTACATATAATAATAGTGTTATATACAATTATATAAGAAGTATCCATTGAAAAGCATCTAACACATATCTTATACTCTTGTCCGAGTGTGGGGTGTCGAACAAAGGTATTTGATTTATTTTGAAAAGTCCGTGTAACATAAATTTTCTTTATGTGTCGGTGTCATTGTTTTAAAAACCAGACCAGACCGACTGGTTAACCTGTTGACCGATTTAGGTTTCGGCCTAGATGGACCCTCGAACCCATTCTAGCTCAAAAACCGGCATAACCCATTGTTGAACCGGTTAATCGAAAGAACTAGTGCCAGTTGGAGCAAACTGGCCAATGGTTAAGCTTTGAAAAATGTAGTCTGCAAGGTTTGAACTAAACACCTCAAGCATGACACTCTTGTTGCTTACCACTAAGCCAACAATACTTCTTGTTGATAAATTAGTAGATATATTTTATTTATTGTATTCCAATCATTTTCTCTCATATACCAATATAATTAACATTTTTCAAATAATATCAATATAAAAATAAATGTGTAAACATATTTATATAAATATCTAATGTATATTTAATACTTATTTTTTATTTAAGTATAATTTTTAATATGTTTATTACATAAGTATGACGTCACGGTTTGATTCGGTTCGACCTGATGGTTGAACCGGCGATTCATCCACCCAATTTCTTTTCTGGTTTACTTATCGGTCCGGTTTTTAAAACCTTGTTACATGTTCAATCCGTGTTTGGTAAACCTCGTTAACAGCTTAATCACATCGATTAGTTGGAACCTTAGTTGCTGAAAACTTTTACTTAGGTGACGTTTTTTACTTGCACTCCTAAGTAAGAAACTTGTAAAAAAACTTGCTCCTGTCGTGGAAGAAATTCACTCCCAACTGAGTTAGAAAAACTTACACTTACAAATCTCAAAGAAACATTAGAAAACAACTTAAACTTATTATAGTACTTTATATTTGCATAATATTTATTTATACTTGATAAAGACAATTTGTTGTTGACATCAATCTCAAATATTTATTAATATTTTAGCACATATTTCCCAACCTTAGAAACTTCTATATGCCCTCGCTCCTCCACCCCTACCCCTGCCCCTGCTTCATGTGTCTAAGGTTGGAACAAGAATGTAAAACAGCTAGTATATTCAAAATATTTGATTTGTTGGCATGGTCGCGTTTTGTTTTTAAATGGGTACTCAAAGACGAGTTCTTTTTTTTTCTTCTTAGTATAGGAGAATGATGCTGAATTCATGCACAGATGCAAAATTTTAGTTTGGAGGCTTCACTTGCAATTTTGTAACTTATAATTTCATTTCTTTAGTATTTTTATTTATATGTTTTTAATTATAGTTAATTAAGATTCTTAAGATTTGTTTCATTTTAGTATATTTCTTAGCCATCAAGAATTTTAGTTTTTTTATTTTATATTTTTGTTAGGGTTTCTTTTGGCTTATAAATAAAAATAACATTGTAATTGGCCAAAGTGGATTAATGAATTTGAGTAGATAAAAGTTGTGGCTTTTGTCAGTAGGGCTGTGATCTGTATTTTTCTTCTATCGAAATTTTTTATTCCTTGAATCTTGATTTCTTTCTTTCAGATCCATTTTTCTTATTTTCTAGTTTTGAATCGATTGAAAAATAGGATGGATTTCTTGATAGCCGCCCTGCATCACTATGTTTCCTCTGTGTGGTGAAGAAAATAGATAAGTTTGGGATGATATTTTGGAGGCTAGTGACAAGGGAGCTATGTTATTGGATGATTCTGAGGAAAGGGTTAAGAAGTCCTGTAAAAGTGAACTTACGAAATTTGTGTGGAACAAGCAGGGCCCATTTTGGTTGAGATGATAACTAAATAATGTGTTAGTGCTTTTGTTGTGCTCATTGAGAAGTTTATGAAAAGTATAAAGAGAAGCACCTGAACAAAAATTTAGTGGCTAAGTTTATGAAGTTTGGGTAAAAGAAATGGAATTCTTTGCCTGAAGGAGAGGAAGCTCCATATGTGATAAGGGCAAAGGAGAGGAATGTTAAGGATTGGAATGAAGATGTGAAGAAAACTTCCTACATGTCTTACAGTAGAGGGAAGGAAGACTGGTTACAGCCTATGAAGAAGGCACAGTTCTAAAGCATTTTGTAAAGGGGAGTGGATCATTTTTAGGTTTTTGAAGTATTGTTAGGGGTTTATCTTTGTTTTGTTTTCCTTCTTTGTTCTCTCTCTTCTTCCTTTTTTTTTTCACTGTGAATGGGCGGTGCCCTCTTGGCATGTTCTCTAGTACAATCTTTTATTATTGTTGATTAAAAAATAA